ATTACTGGGTTGTTTCAAATAAAGCATATCGTTTGTACCCAACCCCCCGATGTGTACGTACCAATTAAAGAATACGATATGTAAATTTCTCACAATGTATGATTTACAGTTTCAAATTAAAGCCTCATTAAACAGTTTAGTAGCTTTTCAATAACCGTATAAGGCATAATACGGTGCTCCATATTCAAAGCATTGTAAAATTGCATCAATAACAGTCATAAAGCCCACATAAGTGATTAACATGCACATTGAAAGTGCTGAGCTAAAAAGCATTTTCCTTCGGCAGTCAGATTTAGCTACAAGGCTAGGACTAATTACATGTTCCATTAGTTAGTGAATAAACGTTTAACTACGTTATTTAGTACTGTTTATACAGGGCTCCATAGTGGTGGCTATAGCGCTTATTATAAAGGTTAGTCAGAGATAACTTTCCATCAGTCAATCTAGCAACCAGTAAAATATTTGAAGCTATTTATACATTGTTATGAGGAGTATTTGAAGAGATACGGTTTCATTCAGGTATTGAACTACAGTGTCTTCGAGCGAGTATAACGAAGATAAATCTTCCAGTTTGGAGTAATAGTTTCTGCTGTCTTAGAAATGAAAATAGATAGTTGGTGAGTAGCATCTTTACATCTGTTATTCACATAGCTTGAAAAACTTCTCACTAATTTTTATATTATCAAGATGATAAGATGTACATTGCCGAAGCTAAACTTGTATATATATATAAGAAGCTTTTGGGGAGGAGGGGGGCTACATCACTCTGCATTTCATTGTTTGAAATGTTTAAAAATCTCTCTATGGAAAGATAAGTATTGAGTCAACATTTCGGCATCCGATGGAGATAAGTATCGAGTCAACATTTCGGCATCCGATGGAGATAAGTATCGAGTCAACATTTCGGCATCCGATGGAGGTAAGTATCGAGTCAACATTTCGGCAGTTTAAAAATCTCTCTATGGGAAAGATAAGTATCGAGTCAACATTTCGGCATCCGATGTAGGTCGTTTGATCAAAATATTCATTGATTACATATTTCTCTTCCCACATAAAGTTTAGCGATTTAAACAATGATCGGATAGTATCACGTTAAAGCTGCACATGTTTGCTGTTTCTTATACAGTTAGTGAATTATAATGTCTGCTTTAAACAGACACTGTGGGATATGAACGGGTTGAAAACGTTTGGTTACGTCGTTGAAAATACTTGTAGTAAAAAACCCACTCTCTTGACGGAATGTATAAACAAAATTTTCAGTATCCAAAATTAGTCGTACCACACAAGGTATTTCTGGGATACAAGCTATAGACGTTTGGAATATTATTACAAGTAGAAAATAGTGTAAAGACGAAGCAACAGATCTATTGTCATTTAACCTGGACATTACAGTCGAACATCCCGTTTTTATAAAAGCTTAGTACTGAGTAAAATCAGCTTTTTAAATCGTGAGATTTTTAAGCGCAAACACAGAATTATAAATTACAGGCTATCTAAACAGGCTATTGTGATAAGTGCGATTTTACATAGTCATTTGTGTGAATTTTAAAGATGAAATCATGCTTTTCCGTAGCCAAAAAAAAAAAAATAATTTCGGTTCGCTATTATGAAAACATAAATATATATGTATATATATATAAATGTTAACGGACTAATAGATAAGCGTAATCCAAATAATTACTTGTTTTAAAGGTATGATTTTAGATCAAAACCTAAATCAAAATATATTTACGTTGGCAAAATTTTCAATACTGTAGTAGTAGAGTGGAGGAAAGTAGTAGAACAATAATTGTATGTAGTTCTTGAAGAGTAATGAAATTCAGTCTTTGTTATAAAATACTGAGCAAGTGATATTGTACTCTGATTACAGCGTTCTTTAGTTTAAGCAGTGTTTCTCTAAGTGAATATTGTACTCTGATTACAGCGTTCTTTAGTTTAAGCAGTGTTTCTCTAAGTGAATATTGTACTCTGATTACAGCGTTCTTT